ATTAATATTTCATTCTTAATATTAATTAGATTGCACGGGAATTCCTACTGTCTTCGTAGGACGTCTATAGGCTGTAGTGTCATGAATTAATTAAAATAATAATTTGTGTGCAACTGCGATTCTTTGTAAGTGTTTTTGTTCGTATTAGAAGGTGTTAAAAGATCTTCTTACGTGCGTTGAATGTGCAGACGAGGAAAGTGATTTCTATTTTGGTCCGACCAAAAGAAAACATGTGTTAAAACCATGTTTGTATCCTGTTTTGTCACAAGTCAACGGAAATAGCAGAATAAAATAATATTGATCCCACAAAAACTACCTCATATCAGGATTTCTAAATTAAATATAAATAACTTACTTATAAATTGATTATTCATATTTATAAAATCTATACAAATTCTATTTTGATTTATTTTATAGAACAGTGTTTCCTATTTTTAATGGATTCTGTTAATGACAGTCAGTTTTATTTTTTTAAACATCCTGAATTTGTAGATTTGTCTATAGATATTTACTTTATTGTGTTTAAAACGCAATCAAATAAATACTGTCTAAATTGTTAGTTACAGTAATTTTCGCTCTTGTCGCCGATTTCTTAAATAAATTCGGTGAACAGTAATAAATTTAAATATTTTTATTATTATTATTTATTATCATTTATATTTTTAAATAGTTACATTAAACATACAAGTTTTAATAGTACCTATATTATGTATCAAGTTTTATAAACGCCATTTTAGTTACGAGTTTAATTAGGCACGAGCGAAGCTTGCGAGCCGGTGTTTAATAAAAAAGAGTATCTAAAGGATTTTATAAACGAGTTGCACTACCACTGCTGCTAACTTCAGCTTGTGAGTAAAACGCCAAAAAGTCACATAAGTACGATAATGTATTTTTTCTACTCCCACCTTTAAAAAGCCCTTTATCGTACATGTTTCCATGGCACTAAGTGACTTTTTAAATACACATTGACAAGTTGTGGCTTTATGGCGTTTTAGTCACGGGCTGAAGTTAGTTTTAAGTTAGTTGACAGTTGTCATAGGTTCAATCGTTAGAATAATATTAGATTAATAATAAAAAATGTGAAAATTATTTTATTATATCGATACAAAAGTATTAAATAGTTTCTTACCGCTAACATTTATAGTATATTATGTATCAAGTTTGATGAACGCCATTTTATACACGAATTTAATTTAGGTACGAGCGAGAGTGCGAGCGAATTCTTAAATTAATGAGTGTATAGAAAAGTTTATAAACGAGGTGCATACTAAACTTTTTCTACGACAAATCCTTATTATTATCTTAAAATGATTTTAATCAAATATTTTTATAGAGCGCCATCTATGAAACAATAGGGGAATCTATGTGTCACCGTCAAATGTCAAATTTTTATTTTTATAAACACATATTATAAAGGTTATAAATCGAAATGTATTTCTTGAAAATGGACAGTTTTTTACAGTGAAAGTAAAGAAAATGTTTTATGAGTACTTTACAGTGGAGTTCGTGCCCGAATTTAAGTTATAGTTTACTGCCGGCGAAATTAAAAGGCCAGTGCAATGTTCATATAAACTTTTCAAATATTGGCGTTGAGAAACTATTTAAAACTTTAGTATTTTTGTATTGTAATAAAATAATTTTCACATTAAGTATTATTTTACAAGAAAGGCACTTTCGTTTAACGATTTTATGACATTTGACAACTGTTAACTAACTTAAAACCAACTTCAGCCCGTGACTAAAAACCTGTTGCTAACTTTAGCCCGTGTCTAAAACGCCGTAAAGCCAACTTGTCAATGTGTATTTAAAAGGTCACGTAGTGTCATGGAAACATGTACGATAACGGTCGTTTTAAAGGTGGGAGTAAAAAAAAAAGTTTATGAACAGTGTACTGAGCAATTTCGCCAGCATTAAACTAGATATAACTTAATTAATAACACATACAAATTTTACATTTGACGGTAACACAGATTCCCAAGTTGGTTACTCTATTGTTTTATAGATGTCGCTTCATAAAAATATTTAATTTAAATCATTTTTAGATAATATTTGTCGTAGAAAAAGGATAGTATTCAACTCGTTTAAAAACTTTTCTAGACACTCATTAAATTAAATTCATGTCTAAAATGGCATTTATTAAACTTGATACATAATATACTATTATTTAGTACAAACACAAACGGAATTTAAAGCTTATTTCAATAGTTAGAAGTTTGAAATCTGTCAATTTATAATATAGCTAACTGGGTCATTCCACCAAATATTTTTTTTGTTTTTTTTTAAATTTGTGGACAAAACATATACTAAAATAAATGTCAAAACATGAATTTTGTATTCAGGGCCGAATTACCCTATCCGAATTACCCCGTTTATCAAACCATACATACTATTACTAAACCTATATGTAATCGAATGTGTATTTAGTTGCCAATTAAGTACTTGTAAATTATTAATAAGCTTAATTTCATCATTAACACAGCATGCTAATTAATAATATTAGAGCGTTTATTTTTAATTTAGCTAATAAATTCGTATTTGTAAAACAAAACTTTGACTAATAGGTATAATGCGAACAAGCCAACTAATTTTCGTATTAAAACAGCTGCTAAATTAAAAAAGTCAATATTTTAAACATGGCCAACTGACGGATACAGTGACGTTGATTTACTGGTACCGGTAACAGCAATCGAAGTAACATTATGTAAAACACAAGGGGTTGCACTATGCCTTGATACCTCGAACGCATAAAAAGGGGTGGCCTACTGCAAACACCCTGCACACAAGTATTGCACGTGGCCTACTATTTCCGGAAGGTATTTTTTAAATTTTATGTTCGTTGTGGTGGAAATAACCGTTTTAGCAGATTGTTTTTTGTGTATGTTTATTTTATATTATAATAAACATGTAGATAAAAAGTAATGAGTATTCAAAAACGTGGCAGGAAATTGTATTTAATTTAATTAAAAATGTATTGTTACATAAATCGCACAAATATTATCGTACAGATAGTTTCGGTTCGTCTACAATTTAAACTTTATTGTTGTCAACACTCGTTACTAAAGTAATTAATAAATTCATTATTTACTACTTTAGACCAAATATAAATTCGACTTCTATCAGATCGATCTAACCTTACTTTTTACTTTTAATAATTGTACGTTTTATGTATCTAACAAACAAATGTTGTCTGCCATTCGGATTCGCTTCCGCTACGCCCCTCATTACGCATCGGTTGTTATGGATACAATTACATGTCTCATATCCAAAGCGTTATGACAAAATTACAGCTAAGTGAAAAATAAATTAATAAATTGTTATTAAAGCGCAGCGCGCGCGGAATTGTGCTCAGGCCCTAACCAAGCCGTACTGAGCTACTTATAAACCTAATTTTTAAATTATGTGTAAAACGCTTGGTTAGCATGCGAAAGATATCGGGATCAATACCCGGCGCCTTCACAACTTTTTTTACATTTTTTACTGATTTACATTTAAAAAGAATACAATGTAACACAAAAAAAATATTTTTTTATAAATGGATCCACATCCACAACAATTGTTTTCGTGACATCATCGTGATTTAATAACAATTTAGCTTAGCCTAGAAAAGTTTATAAACGAGTTGCTTACTATACTTTTTTTACGACAAATATTATCGAAAAAAATATTTAAATTAAATATTTGTATAAAGCGACATACCTAGAAAAATAAAGTAACCATCTCAATAAACATTTTTGACGAAATTTTCATCATTTACATCCCGTCATTATTTTATTTAAACTTAACAATTATTGATACTTTAAAATATTCAACTTCAACTTCAAAATATTATCACAAAGTATTAAACATTATTACACGGGAAATGCTAAAGGTACAAAAAGTGACAATTGTATTCATTGGAATTTCCGTTAGAATTTTTAACTTAAGAATCTGCTGGCGTTAAAATCTCAAATTTTTCTGTGTAAGTAAAAATTAATCCCTTGAAAATAGACTAACAATCAATATAAAAGCAGCTTTTTTTACAGTAAAAGAGAAGAGCATGTTGTATGGACACTGCAAGCAAAAATTTTAACGCTTTATCAGTTAAATCTAGTTAACGTAGCTAGAGATGTAAAAAAAAGGTTTTTTTTCAGATGTCAAAAAAAACATGTAAATAAATAAATAAAGTGAAATGTAGAATATATTACATTTATCATTATTGAAAATTTTGACCAAGACTAAAAAATCTGATTTCTTATTATTTGGTAGTTTCCACATTAGAAACCAATAGCAATGTAAAACTTCTACACTAATACAAAAAATTAAAGGATAAAATTTTGTTTGCGATTTTTCGGATAGCTGTATTTTTGTTAAAAATGGTCGTATTGGAGCCGTAAAAAAAGCAATTTGAAGCTTGAAGTTTATAGTTTTTAGATTTTTAGATGAAAAACGTGCAATTCCTAACGAATACCGTTATAAAAAAAATCTATTTTTTTGCTTTCTTTTTTGGTCCACGGAATGTTCTGACTTAACCACCAATGAATAAAATTTATTTAATGTTCTATAAAATAATGTTCTATGTTCTATAATTTATTTAATGTTCTACAAGAATTTGCTATTGTTTTTTTGAAAAAAAAAATTCCATACTCATACATAAATTTGAAAAATCATGAAAATGGTGCTTTTGGTAGCTTTTTGAAAAATCAAGCGCTGAATCAAAAATATTATATGTAGTTACTTTTTTTAGGACCAAATCAAGAGAAGAGAAAGGCACTTTATTTTAACGATTGTATGACATTTGACAACTGTCAAATGACTTAAAACTAACTTTAGCCTGTGACTAAAAACCTTATGCTAATTTCAGCCCGTGACTAAAGCGCCATAAAGCCAGAACTTGTCAATGTATTCCATGGAAACATGTACGTACGATAATGGGCGTTTTAAAGGTGAGAGTAGAAAAATTACTTATGGAAACATATAATGCGTGTTTTAAAGGTAAAGGTAAAATATAAATATCTTCTTACCTTTTACTAATAATTTGAGGCATTTGAAACTTTTGAAAAATCCACTATTCGAGGTACCAAATATCACTAATAAACACTGAAATAAAAAATAAAAAAATTAGTACTGTTTGACACCATAAAAACATTTTGGAATGTTTTTCAGATGATTTTATAATACGGCATTAAAATCATGGATAATATTGTGTAATTTCTTGGCCATGCTTAGAGTGGGCGAAATAAAGAATTCCCTAATTGTTCATTTCTTAATTTCAACCGGGTCAATAGCAAAATATTGTGTGCAACTATTGGTCAAGAGAGGAGATTCCACTCGCGCGTCCACGCTCGAGGAATCTCCTATTTCTCCCACTAGTCGCACAATATGCTATTGTTGACTATTGTTTTGTTTTAATTTTGAAATCTTTTGCCATAATAGTATATTAAAGAACTAATGTCATAAGACGTCATTTTGTCGCACGCGGACAATTTATTGCAATTGACGAGTGCGACAAAGTCTTATGACATTAAAAATTAATTTTATACCTTAAATTTAATTTGGTCGAATTTTACTTAAGATAGTTGGTATCACGGTCATTGGTTTGACATTTAATGTCAAAATCGATTCGCCATGCCGTCCTTAATTTACTTATTTACAATAAGCGGCTGTTAATGTTAAAGAAGAAAAACAGGATTTTCTTTGGTGTTAAACAAAAGTTATTGCCAGAAAAGTCTCGTAAGTACTGGAAAAATCATAAAAATATTATAACCAATATGCAAAATAGTATGCTGTTTAAAGTATAGCCAACCTATAAAATCAAAATTTTTTGGTGGGATAAAGTATCTCATTACAGCACCGAAAGTCATTATGAACCCAAAAAAAAGCTACTCTGCAAAACTTCAAAACAAATTGACCTTTATTTTAAAAATGCATTCTTGGGCAGATATTAAAAAAAGATTATTTTTATAAACGTTCAAAACATCAAACATTTATCATTAATTAAAGACGAATAAATAAATTTATAATTCATTTTGAGTTGTTTGGTATGTATAATTCACACATCGAAAGCGCGCTGCATAAATCATCAAAAATCCATTAGAGCTGGCGGAAAAGCTCGAAAAAAATCTTTTTATGCTTTTTGGCGTGTCGCGGCCCCTTGTCAGTGTGTTTATCGTAGCAGAAATCCATTTTAATTTAAAAACGTAATCATTCGAAAGGGTGTATGGAAATAAAGTACAATGCGGCCATGGCAGCCGCTCCGAAAGGCACACAAAGGAATACTGTGACTGCATTATTGCGCAAGATATTGACGAATTTTAACATCGTGATTTATGCCCCCGTTTTTAACCCCCTCAGTTGCCGCCTCCCCCGCAGCACCGCTCCCGGCGCGTTTGTTTTATCGTATTTCTTGCACTCACTGTTCCTTGAGACAATACATAATAATATATCGCCTAAGATTTATTTCAATAATTTTTATAAGGAAAATTAAATTAAATGTACAGTCAGAGTAAATAGTAATGCACTTTTTCCATTTATATAAAAAGTGTCCATGTCACAATTTAGTGTAAATGTTAAGAAAGAGTAAACGCAGTAAAAGATGCAGTAAATAAAAATTTATAAAGTGCCTTTTTATTTCCTTCTATTACATTACAACCACGTAAAAAGCTCCGACACTTTAAGTGGTATATAGTCTAAGGATTATCTATCAAGAGGTCTGAGGATTAGTCTTAGTTCATTTATTTATCGACTAAAAATCCCCCACACTTTATAACGGATCCATATATGTATTTATAATATAAATAAATTTGTATGCTTTAAGGTTATATCCGAGGTTATATCCTTGTATTGTGTGCTTTAGGATACAGCAGAGTTTCTCAAACTTTGAATTATGCAGGGAAGCTCCGCAAGGGACTTCTGACAGTATAAAATAAATACAATACATTATTGTAAATTCTGTATTTAACATTTTCCACACTAAAAATAAAAAAATACTAGGTTTTATTATTTTAATTTAACCCCTATTATTATCAATTGTTATTTTTGCGTCCGCCATCAAAAAGTTTGCCTTAGATTATATAAAAATGGAATTACCATGGAGCACACAATACGTGTATCCCCATCCAATTCAATAAAAGACCTGCAGATTTTTTTTATTTGTTATCTTTTTGTAATGAAGATGTTTTTTTCATTTTATTGGCAATTTTATTTACTCAATTTGATCTGTTCTTATCAGTTTGATATACATGGCAATATTTATCTATTTAAATATTCAATGCAAATAAAAAAAATACAAGCATTGAATGGAATAGTTCACAAATAATATATTTTGATAAGAACTGAAATTAGAGAAATTAGCTTAAGTGATAGTGCGTAATTTTTATGATACACTGTATAAAACTATTTTAGAACAATTATATAAAATCAGGGTTCGATTTTCAAAAAAAAATCAAAAATCGATGTTTTTTATTAAAAAAATCAACAAAAAATTCAACAACAAATTTTTTTGATTTTTTTTTAATTTGAAGTTTTTTTAATAAAGTGGACTATTAAAAAATACTAAAAATAACTTGACTTAGTCAAGTTGACTATATAATAATATAATAATATTATATTGGAACTACTTTATGAACAAAAAATAAACCACCGTCCAAAACTGTCATATATTTTTTTATATACATACACTGAAAGAAATATATGTTTGTTTTAGCAATGTATGTGGTAGTCCATATATGAAACATAAATTTCTTTCAGTGTATATTCCTTTATTATTTTATTTAACAAAATAAGCAGTTTAGTATTGTGCTTTTGTTTTAGATCTTTTAAGTGTTTTTTTATATTTTATATACTTTTTTTAAAACTGATTTTAATCATTGATTAAAATAAAAAAATTACTTGATTTAAATCAAATGATTTCAATCAGGCGAACCCTGTATAAAATATAAACATTTTTTAATCAAATTTTTTCGTTTACAAAACAATTTTTGTTTAATATTATGAAAAATTTACGAATTCGACTTTTTAAAATTTTGGACCTGGAAAATTTGTAATATTTTTTATGCAAATTTTATAAACATACCTACGTAGTACATTATAGACCAGGCAGAGAAAGCTAAATTATAATTATAATTATATTTCTTCTTTTAATCATAGTATACTATAATCATTGATTAATACTTCTTCACTTAACGATATTATGTATCAAGTTTTATAAACGCTATTTTAGTTATATTACGAGTTTTATTAGGCACAAGCGCAGCTTGCAAGCGAGTGTTTAATAATAAAAACGAGTGTCTGGAGAAGTCTGAAGAAGAATTTAAAGCCAATTTTATTTGTTAACAATTTGACATCTGTCAACTGTTAACGGATTTAACCTCACTTTTTCCCAATTTATAATACCTAAAGCTAAAGCCCGTGACTAGAATGCCAAAAAACCAGTTACTAAATTCAACCCGTGACTAAAACGCCATACAGTCACAACTTATCAGAGGGGGAGTAGATAATGTAGTATATTACGTATCAAGTTTGATAAACGCCATTTTATGCACGAATTTAATTTAGGCACGAGCGAGCTTAAATTAATGAGTGTATAGAACAGTTTATAAACTAGGTGCATACTATACTTTTTCTACGACAAATACTTTTTATCTTAAAATGATTTAAATCAAATATTTGTATAGAGCGCCATCTATGAAACAATAGGGGAATCTGTGTGTCTCCGTCAAATGTCAAAATTTTATATTTTATAAAAACAGATTCGATGTATTCTTTGAAAATGGACAGTTTTTCACAGTGAAAGTAAAGAAAATGTTTTATGAGAACTTTACAGTGGAGTCCGTGTCCGAATTTATGTTATAGATTACTACCGGCGAAATTAAAAGGTCAGTACAATGTTCATATAAACTTTTCAAATATTGGCGTTGAGAAACTATTTAATACTTTTGTATTTTTGTAATGAGATAATAAAATAATTTTCACATTTAGTAATATTTTACAAGAAAGGCACTTTATTTTAACGATTGACAACTGCCAGCTAACTTAAAACTAACTTCAGTCCGTGACTAAAAACCTGTTGCTAACTTCAGCCCGTGACTAAAACGTCATAAAGACACAACTTGTCAATGTGTATTTAAAAGGTCACTTAGTGTCATGGAAACGTGTACGATAATGGGCGTTTTAAAGGTGGGAGTAGAACAAATTGTTTATTTCAAACGTACCATAATTTTCATATTATAATAAACATATTATATAACACGCATAAATCTATATAGAAAGACCACGCACAGAAATAAAGCTAAAATGTCGCCTTGTCAATTGAACCTAACCTAAAAATGATTACAGAATCTTAATATTTAATTAAATTCTTGAAAAAAAGTAGGTAAATAATTTATTTATTTATTTAAAATAAAACACGGCGGCGAAAGCCTACTAATTGCCTCGTACAAACTGTACTGCCTCGGCTATCGCCTCGGCCTCGGCAAAAATATTTGTTTTCTCCGCCTGGTAATGTACTATTGTCACATCATTTTTAGGTTAGGTTGACCTGACTTGATTACATTTTAGCATCATTTTTGTAAAATTTTTAAGAATGACAGTTTTATTTGTAAAACAATACATAAAAGTATTACAATTATAATAACAATTATTAAAGTGAGGTTAGAAAGCTCAGAGCTCAGTAGTTATCGAATTTTATTGGTTTTTTACAGAATAGGATGTAAAAAACTTCACCTGATTGGTCTAAATTATTTTTACAGCCTAGGAGAATGCCGAATGCGTTGGTAGTTAGCGTTGACAATAATAAAGCTTAAATTATAGAACGCTTAAAGATAAACAATTTTTCAAATTTAGTTTTTTTTAATACGAACATGTTTATTCCAGGATCTTGATTATACTTTATCTGAGGCGTTGGCTTTAAAACAGTGTATCTTCGTTAATAACAGAGATAATAACGTAAATAAATAACAAAATGTTTATAAAAGATAAGATTCTACAGTATGAATACATTTTGCTGATGCACCCCACATTTCGGAAAAAAAATCGTACTTTTACACCCTGTTTATGCTCAAATTAAAATCAGAATACAAATATGATATCATGAGGTTAAA